CTGAGATGTTTGTGAAGTCCTTTGATTACCTCTTGCGAGTATGTGAGATACTTCGGCATTGTGAGGACAATGCCTACGTATAGTAGTCAACCTCTGGGTATTTGATCTGGAAGTCTGCTTTGTGACCTTTGTCTTTGTGACTTATTGCTGACGTTTGGTTATTGTGGTGAGCGAACTACTTTAGCGCTATGACTGCTGATGACTGGATAGCTGAGAAGTCGAGCAGAACATTCTGTTCTCCACGGTAGTTTGGAGCTATGAGAAGATATCTCTGTGTGAAGAATGTTTTGGAGATGGAACAGGAGGTTCCATGTTGTTCTGTATTGCAAGAGGATTTTGTAAAGGAATTTGAATGGATCATTTCGTTCTTGAATAGCCGTGTGACTAGTCTAGACGTTTTGGTAGAGACTAGTAACACCGGCTAGCTGGTTATTTGCGTTTGGACGAGAACCAGTTTGACTTGAGAACTTTTGGAAATGTTTCTGACTTTTTGTGACTAGGTGATTTGTATATCATAGCAGTTTGGAATTGTTTCAGCAACCTTTGAGGAAAGGTTGTGGATTAGAAACCTGGAATCGAGTTTCCCAGTTGAGACATCGGCTCAAGGGAGTGGTGTCAAATGTTCCGAAGCGAACTGAACTGCAGTGTCACCTAGGGCACTTGAGACAGTAGCCACACTGGAACTTTGTTTGTAGGCTGTGGCCGCGTGCCTGCCCTGGTTCCTGTTGACCTGTTCCGTTGTGTGTGGCGTCTGGAGAGAAAAGAAGGAGTCTGACGTGCACTTAGGAGTCAGGGTGGAACAAGTTCCTCTATTTTGACATTGCAGAGAAGTAAGTAACTGCGGAGCCGCAACCACAGTAGGTGTTTGCGTCTGGCGTAGTGAAATAATGAAAGCGTTGATTTGGGTACACGAGAGGTGTACGTGGGTTTACGTTTTCACATGGTAGCGGAGCTCTGAAAAGGGCTACCCACACCATCTTCCGCTGACCCTTGTTTGTGACAAGATGCTTAGGACGTCATCTAAGGTGAGATTGGGATCTTGGATATTGGAGCTCCGTGGTCTGCACGCAGACGTAGAGATGAGCTCGTACTAAGGTGCACCTGTTTCACAGGAGGTGATGATCTGAAAGTATAGGTCACTAGGGAGTGTGAAGTTGGTTGGAGTCGGTTTGGTTCAGGTGAATTTGAGACTCTGTTTCTTGGTTGTATTGACTTCTACAGGTCATGAGGATCGTGGATCTATCAGTTTTAAGTGACCATCCGTTTGCAAGTCAAACAAGAATCGGCAGGGTGTGTGTGCATGGTAGGCTGGACAGAGGTGGGCCCATGTAGACTGTCGACAGTGGTACCTGTAGAAGTGCATGCAAGATTAGTCAACCCTGGGAAGGACACTTGTGACTTGGATGGAGGAGTTGAGTTTTTGTTTGGTTTGTGATGACAGTGGATTCTGTTGGAGCAAGCTTCATTTTCACCTTGTGTAGGTGCGTAGTTCTGGAAAGCGTCCATGTGGTCTTGGCAGTATTCTGGTAGGAGTCTGTGTCATGGCGTGACGTATTGCTAGCGTAGGGTCACTATTGCAGGGCTGCGCTGGAGTATCTGGAGATGTATGCATGGATGGAATGTTCCTGGACGTAGGAGATTCGTTTCGGCAGTATGAAGTGACAGTAGGTAACTTGCTGCAACCTTGCAATTGGAACACACTAAGGTAAGGACGAGAAGAACTGATTTGCATAATCTGGTAGAGCGACTGATTGCCAGGTTGGACACTGGACACTGAGGTAATGGATCAGAGTGCAAAGGCTGGGAACTGAGGATGTTAGGTATATGGTTCTTGCAAACGGTTGAGGCATGTCTTGGATCTTGAACTCAGTTGGTCTATAGAGGGGGAGTGATAAGAAAAGGCGTATCAGGTGACTGGAATGAATAGGCAAAGATCGCTTTCTGAGTTGTCGTTTCAGTGTCACTCAATCTGAAGGTAGATTTGTTTTTGTTTGAGCCCAATACGCATGAAGACTTTATGTTTTGGAGTGCACTGTGGATGATTGAAAGTGGGTAACATGCCTGTCACTGATAGTGCCAGGTATTGCTCAAGAGGTTCAAAGGTAGATCAGTTTGCCATGTCTACCCGCAAAGACCTGAAAGGTTTTTTGAAAGAAGGGCCAACCTCCAGTGGAACTGGAACGTCTCACTCCAAGGAAGGCCAATACAAGAAGGCTGTATAGTTGGCTCGCCCAAAGAGTAAGAGGGCTCCTGCGAAGTTGAGGGATAAGTTCTGGAATTGTCAGCTTATCTCCACCAGGAATCGGCAGGCACCTCTATCCACAAGGAATCGGCAGGCACCTCTCTCCACTAGGAACCGTCGGGCACCTCTCATTGATGCTGCCACGGCGCCTACTCCTGTTGTGATAGATGCAGATGAAGATGTGGCAGGCATCAAGAGGGAACAGCCTCCGGTAGATGCGGCGAGGCTTACAAGTGAATGTGGAGAAAGAGTACTGAATTCTGGGGACGATGTGCAGAGTGCCCTTCCGTATGATTCAGACAGCGAGCTGACAGATGTGGACGACATGCCAGAGACTACTTTGGAAGAAGAACTACTCAAAGAAGTTAGTCTGAGTGTTACTGATGAGCCTTAGCTTGTTTGTTTGAGAGGAGACGCCAGTGGAAGTAGCCTTAGGGCTTTGCGGTTGGTTGCCTGGACAGAAATGAACAAATGAGTTTTGTTTTGCTGCGAGAGTGAAACGGTGATCATATGTGACCTAGAGGCGTAGAAGGTCGTTGGCTGGAAAAGGAGAAGCTGAAAGCGACACAGAGAAAGCCGCTAGGTCGGTTGTTGTGATGTTTTCACTCGCACGATGCTTGATAGTTTGTTTTGAATGTATGAGTTGTGGTTAGATAGCCTGCTTGTGTTTCCGCAGCCGTTTTCTAGCTGTTTCGTGTCAAGAGCATTTGAGACCGCTGCACTGTGTGTGTTTTCGAACATGGAGTCACTTAAGCTCTGGATTGCTTTAGAGCCCAAGCAGCTGGAAGAGTTGAACAAGGGGAATGAGGTTTTTCCAGATGGATACTCCGGTCGCTTTGGTCTGCGTTTGGGGCCTGCGGAAGCGGTGAATCGTGCTCAATACTTTATGGATTGGACGCCTGATGGATTGAAAGGTGAGTACCATCAGAAAGACTATGCAGTGATGGAGATGGAGATCTCAGCGCTTGGCTACCTTCAAAAGGTTGAGGGCGGAATCTTGGAGAAGACAAAGCCCACCGAGTATCGCTGGCATGGGCCTGTGAAGCATGAAGAGCGGGACGGATAGCCAAGGGCGCATGTTGTACCGCATTAGTGAGATGGCCGTCAAGTTCATTTGAATAGTCAGGGTCCAGGTCCAGAAGTTGGGCAGACCATGGAGTATTAGGTATGGGTTTTGAAACTCCAGTTTGAAATGCAGAAGAGAAAGAAGAAAGAGTGTCTTCAGCAGCTTCAGCAGCATATGAGTCTGCGTTGCTCATGTGACGGACGAGCAGTTTGTTTGTTTTTTGTTGGATTTGCTGTAGTGAAACTGTGAGTTTTGACGTGTGGAGTTGTCATGTTGAACTGGGAGGTGACTGTAGATTGGTAGGTCGTTGGTTTGGAAGAACTGTAAGCGGCAGAGTTCACAGTCAAGAGATCAGCATGGACAGAAATTTGCAGTGAGTGTTAATCCACATGGAAAAGCAATTGAGCTGCATGTTTGCATCGATGTCGCGAAGCCATTTTCTTTGCTGAGTCTGGGAAGTAATCTCGGTTTGAACTCAATGGAGGATAGCATTCGTCTGTGGATAGCTCTCGCCCCACCACAGATGGAGGAGCTGCGGACGCATCATAGAGTCCAGCCAGACATCTCTACCTCCAGGATAGATTTGAGTGCGACACATGCGCCCGTTGGGCGCGCCACAGATGTTCAACAGTGTCACACTTACAACTGCTTCGATTACAGCTTCCTCCAGGTCGAGATTACTGCTCTGGGTTACTTTCGAAAGATGGAGGCAAATGTGCCGGAGAAGATTCGACATGGTGAGTTTCGTTGGTATGGATTTCTTGTTCCAGAAGAACGTGATGAGCAGGGAAGATTGCTCTATCAGATCATCGACCACATAGTTGCTAATGAGCCGGTTCATGAGCGTCCTACCAGGAACTGAGGAATGAACAAGCTGTAGATTAGTGTACTTTAGGTTTTGCTTGAGCCGTGCCAGCTGTGGCAAGTTGGTGAAGAATCCCCTTTTTGGATGCCTGTGGCCGATGAAAGAATGCTTTGGTAGTCGATGCTAACATGTTGCAAGATGAGAAGATGTAATCGTGTGGAATTGTCAACTTAAACGAAACAAACGAAACGAACGAAACGTGAAACCCAAACAAGTTTGTGTGTGTTTTTAATGCGCCTTGTTTCTTATTTGCAATTGAGATTTGCTGTCAGTGTGTCGTTTGGTGGGTGCAGCTTTGTGAAGATGACTTGTCAAAGGGTTCTCGCGAAACCACGGAGACATGTTTTCTTCCAGAATACCTGCATGCATGTCAATGAGAGACAGTGAATCTGCACTGCATATCGTAGGGAGCGCACGGTAAACCTGAATTCATGGTGGTCCTTCATGGATTGAGGACTGATTTTTGTACAGGGGTTTGGTCAATTTCCATGATTTGAGGACGAACACAGACCTTTATTGCATGTTGAAACACATGTGTGTCAATGGTTCGCAAAATTCCAGTATGTTGGAGACATCTGGCATTTTGGGAAACATTTTCGTCAGTTAGTTATATTGTTGAACTTACGCAACATGTTGGTTGATTTGGTTGTCTGGTGCTTGTGACATTGAGATTATAGGGCATGAGGCTCCATTGTCAGCCGGGACTGTCCAGTAGAGTGCTGCAAGCTCTTAGAACGCGCCTAGAACGCACGCTGAAAATGGCCGAGGAAGGACGAGCCCGTTCCAGGTCCCGAGGACGTGAGGCAGCTGAATCTGAGACCCCAGATATGCCAGAGGGGGCCCCAGGTGTGCCTGAGGAAGCCCAGGGCATGCCAGAGGGAACTCCGGGAGATATGGCTGCTGTGCCAGGCATGCCAGAAGGAACCCCGGCTGATATGGCTGCCGTGCTGGGTATGCCAGAAGGCAATCCGGGTGATATGGCTGCAATGCCAGGTATGCCACTTAAGGCATTCCGGGTGTTATGACTGCCACACCGCCATTGGCGCCTAATGGTATGGAGCTCTTGAACCTGGCTAAAAGGATCTCAGAATGTGCCACCAAGATTGGAAATGTGATTGAGAATCTTGCCATCGCCTTGGATGATTTCAATCAGGGAAGGATGGAGTTGCATAAAGGATTCAAAGAACTGAGTGAACAGATCAAGAACACTGCACACTGTATCACCACTATGACATCAGGAGTGTCATTTCAGTCTGGGGAGATCACCAAGCTTCTCAAGGCTTTCGATCGGTGGGCTGCCACGGGTCGTTGGGCTCTGGCTGGAAGCCAGACGGTGGAGACCAACATCCAAGGAGTCCAAAGAGAGGTTGAAAAGCAAGCAAAGAAGAAGCCAGTCTGAATAGTGGCTTCGAAAGCCTTGGTGGACATATCCAAGAATTGGTGAAGCTGTTGAGGGAGCAACCTCAGGGTATGGCAATCCCAGGTGCAATTCCAGTGTCAGAGGGTGCGACAGAAACTGAGACGCCCCTTACGCCGGGAGCAATTGGTGCACCAGCAGTTGGCGCTCCGGAAGCACTGGACGTGCTGGATCTACCAGTTCAGGAGGAGTGCCATTGCCAGGTACGGGATCCATCAGTTCCGGGGGGTTGCCATTGCCTGGATCGGCTCCTGGTGCCCATGTCACAACGGTTTTGCCACCTCCGGCGTTGCCAGTGTCGCTCTTTATGGCGTTCTGTCCGGAACAGCCGAATGGGCCGAGACCAAGTATACTCCCCTTCCGATCCCAACACCATGCCAGCGTGCGGGCATCGTTACCAGAGATGCGGGGATGGGGGTACAGAGGACATTGTCACCGACGGCATATCGTCCTGAACAACTCACTGGAATCACCAGTGCCTGGGCTCCCCAGGGATTGGGGATGATTCGAGATGGGAATTCTCAATTCAGGAGGATTTACTGAGAATGGAAGTTCGGGACATTGGCTACTGAGAGCTGAGAGAGGCCCGCCTGCTTCCTTTGGGTGAAACCCAGGAGATATATTCCTTTTGATTTCCTTGCAACCTGTATGGTAGAGAGAATAGTTGGTAACTGGTATTTCAGCCGTTGGCCAGCTCGAGGTTCACTCTATCCATCATGTATTCGTTGCCGTCGCTTCAGATATCTGTGCTCAGCAGAAAAGGAGAGATGGAAAGCAGATCTTGAAAGGGGGCAAGGAATTTCATTGGGTTGTATCCTGGAAGGATCAACTTTTGGGTGATATATAAGTGGATGTACAGGACATGGATGGGACACAAGTGGCACATGAACATGTTTGTGGATTCGTTGCGAGTTTGTGTTTTGTGAGTGTTGTTTTTATTTTGTCGTTGATGGTGGTTTGTATTTGTCTGCCGCCGTTTTCCAGATGATGACATGGCCAGATCCGATTCTCGAATAAGCGAAGAATCACAGAGGATCCAGGCTAAATGTCTGATGGAAACACATGTAAAGGTGTTTTTGGTTTTGTTTTATTCATGGATGTCAGTGGATTGGATATCCCGGATTTGAGGTTCATGTCAATGTTGTTGGAATTGTCCTCTTGACGGTTCTAAATATGTTGGTGTCAGTGGAATGGATTTCCCTGACATTGTTAATATGTTTGTAAGTAGAATGGTCGCAAGTTGTTTTGGTTGTTTTTGCTTGTTTGCTCAATATGCGATAGATCAGCCTTTATGCTGATCGGAATTCATTTTGGTGGTGGTTTCGGATTAGTGGATTTTACCTCAAAAGGGGGCAAGGTCTGTTTTATTTGTGGAAATATGTCCTGAGCTTAGCGCGCCTCGCACTTAGCTTGTCTGAAGCTGGGTCTGCGTGGTGCCGCAAGGCCATGAGCTTAATTTTAGTTCCACGAAAGTGGATTTTATCTGAGTATTCTGGACTGATGACAGTTTCGCTTGTCTGACACGCCTATCTTCCAATGGAAGAAGTGGATTAGCTGAAACAGTCTGCCTTTGTTTTTGTGTTGACTCCGACAGTGCTTCGTCTGTCTTCGTCTTGGATCTCGTGTGTGTTTTGTTGGTGTTTTGTTTTGTTTCCGTCTGTTCTAGGGAACCACAAAAAGGCACTGTAGTTGATCGTGAATTGACGCCATGGTCTCTTTGATCAGTCGATGGATTTTGACCTGGTGATGTTGACTGGTTAAGGATAGATGGGAACTGTGCCCATGAAGACGTCTATGGAGTATTGCTGAAATCAGCGTTGGCGATGGTTGTGGATATGGATAGGCCCGGATAGGCTGTTTATTTACGATGAGCGAAGTGTTGGAGGAACAACCGTCTATTTCTTTGAGGATCAGGTGATTTCTCAGAGACAGTTATATGTTTTTGGAAACGTCGAATGTTTCAGAGGAGTTTAGACTTCATTTTCCGTTGAGGTGCTTGGAGCATCGAAGTCTCCTGGCGAATACGACGTATTCTACGAGTTTGACCTTGAAGGTATGGCAAAGTTCATACTGGATATGCATCTGAGTATGTATAGAGAGAAATGAATGTCATGTCGAAAGGGGGTGTGGAAGTTTGTACCCTTGTGGGGTGCAACTTGGCATTGGTGCGACCTGACTTTCATTGAGCCTTCAGTAGTGAAACTGGACTATGGGAAGGTGTCTACAACAGGCTTAAGTAGTTTCGGTATTCCTCTGCGGTACACGGAGCTGCAAGAGATGATTTGAGATATCGACCTGTGAGTCTGAGTGAATCTACACGGAGCTCAAGCTACTTTGAATACAGTTTGAAGCTTTATTTAGCTTTATGACAATGGACGAATGCTTTCAGAAGCATTCGCTAGACAGTTGAGTCGGGATGATGCGGTTTCATCGATCTCGGAGATTCCTTGACTCCTTATGGGAGTGTGAATCTGACGGAGATGGTTTTGGAACCTCCGTTTCGATTATTGACGTTGCTTCAAACATCTGAGATGTTTGTGAAGTCCTTTGATTACCTCTTGCGAGTATGTGAGATACTTCGGCATTGTGAGGACAATGCCTACGTATAGTAGTCAACCTCTGGGTATTTGATCTGGAAGTCTGCTTTGTGACCTTTGTCTTTGTGACTTATTGCTGACGTTTGGTTATTGTGGTGAGCGAACTACTTTAGCGCTATGACTGCTGATGACTGGATATTAGCTGAGAAGTCGAGCAGAACATTCTGTTCTCCACGGTAGTTTGGAGCTATGAGAAGATATCTCTGTGTGAAGAACTGTTTTGGAGATGGAACAGGAGGTTCCATGTTGTTCTGTATTGCAAGAGGATTTTGTAAAGGAATTTGAATGGATCATTTCGTTCTTGAATAGCCGTGTGACTAGTCTAGACGTTTTGGTAGAGACTAGTAACACCGGCTAGCTGGTTATTTGCGTTTGGACGAGAACCAGTTTGACTTGAGAACTTTTGGAAATGTTTCTGACTTTTTGTGACTAGGTGATTTGTATATCATAGCAGTTTGGAATTGTTTCAGCAACCTTTGAGGAAAGGTTGTGGATTGGAAACCTGGAATCGAGTTTCCCAGTTGAGACATCGGCTCAAGGGAGTGGTGTCAAATGTTCCGAAGCGAACTGAACTGCAGTGTCACCTAGGGCACTTGAAACAGTAGCCACACTGGAACTTCTTTCCTTTGTTTGTGGGCTGTGGCCGTGTGCCTGCCCTGGTTCCTGTTGACCTGTTCCGTTGTGTGTGGCGTCTGGAGAGAAAAGAAGGAGTCTGACGTGCACTTAGGAGTCAGGGTGGAACAAGTTCCTTTATTTTGACATTGCAGAGAAGTAAGTAACTGCGGAGCCGCAACCACAGTAGGTGTTTGCGTCTGGCGTAGTGAAATAATGAAAGCGTTGATTTGGGTACACGAGAGGTGTACGTGGGTTTACGTTTTTCACATGCACCATCACGGCTTCGTGGTTGCGGCTGACAGAGATAGTGACGACTCTGTCTATGGAGGCCCTTTGACGACTCGAGTGAGATGATGCTGAGAGAGGCGTAGAGTATAGCTTGTTGTTTTGTACAGCGTAGCACATGCCTGAGTCAATATACAAGCTAAAGCCTCCATGTTTGCCCGAAGGCCGTGATTCTTAATTCATTTCGCATGTTTTTGAGAGTGATGCGGTGGACAAGCCACTGCGTCCCATGGCAAATCGATTGTGGTTGTTTTGTTTGGGCTCTGGCCCCGTTTTGTTTGGTTTTGGTGTTTCGCTGTTTGCTTTGCTGTGTCCTCGGGCGAAACGCAAGTCTGGCTGGGGGATTTGCGGGTCGTCGTGTTTGTGGTTCTGGTGGTTGTGTGTTTTTGTTATTTATCGATTTGCCTGCTCAATGGACATAATCTGTCCTTGTACAAATGCCTATCTTGCTTATGCTCATGTAAGGACCGAGCCCTTAGCGCAACTTCGGCCGCACTCGAGGAAAAAAAAATATGAAGTCAGTGAAGCACAAAAGGCCCTATTGCTACTGCCCCGTACCGAAAAAGGATCTAGCACGTCTTCGGAAGAGCACTATGCCAACCTACCGGAGCCTACTCACCATGATGTCCTTCATGAGCACTAGATATCTCCTTCGATGCTGAAGATTGACAAAGCACACCTGAGAGGAATCTTAGTGGCCTCTGAGCGCCGGTATGGATCCGTTTTCACTCTACGTTTCACCGTTTCACCATGGTTAATTTCCACTTTCCTTTTGCACATGGCAGTGTCATTGCTGGCCTTTGGATGGTGTCCAGAATCTGTGAGAATGTTGCCCGTGCGGCCTGCACTCAGTGATCTCGAGGCTCCTGGCTGTGGGGAGCCTCGGTTTCCGCTTTGTGCCTTTGTTGCTTCCTAGCTCACAGATTTTGTATGGCATTGTCGTGTTGTTGCTGGTTCGCTTTTGTTTTCACATGCCATACCAATCTCAGAGGTGATACAATGTTATCATCTCTTCTGATACGTTTCAGCTGACCATGAACTGACCTGCTGATCACCGGCCGTGTTTTTTTTGGGTTGTGTTTGTTTTGTTTGTGCTTCTGTTCTTGCTTCTTGTTTGGTTGTTTTGTGTTGGTGTGTGGTCTTGCACAGTGACAGCTCAATGGATTATGTATCGATCTTTGTTCAGTTCTGCTTTTGGTGCACATTGTCATAGGAGAATGTTGCCATTGCATTAATTCGCTGAATTTACCAATCTGCATTAGCTTTCCGACTTGATTAACGACCTGGCAAGAGCCACAAGGCGTTAGACGGAAAAAAAATCTTTTGATGCGGAGGCAGGCTATGGCGCTCATTAACGAGCTCTTCAAGGTTGTGCACCCAGACGAGCTGGATGTTAATCTGCCTCAGCTGCGAAAGCTCCCACGGGCCGCGGCCGATGAGATGTGTTTGCAGTTTTAGCCTCCATTTTGGCATCAAGCCTGGCTG